ATATTAAAAATTTGTTATTGATATTATAATTGGTAACCCAAAATCATTTATTTTGAAAAAAAATAATACATTTTTGAAAAATTAAGCGTTAGAGTAAATCAGTAAAATTGTTTTTAAATGGAAGCAGAAGCAGTTTTTTCTATTGTTGAAACAAAAAGATATTTTTTTCAAGACTAAAATATTTCTTCCATATGTATGTATTTATCATATATCACTTATTAATTAATTAGCACATTTCATAAGTTTGGTTAAGTTTCATTTAAAAATTTATTTAATTATTTTTGTATAATAAATTTAATATTTTATTTTACATTTATATATTATTATTATATTTTATATTTATGTTACATATTATTTTGCAGAATTAGAGAAAAAGATAACAATAATATTTTTATAAAATTAGTAAAAAAATTAAGATTTCAGCTCTCCCAAAAAAGATATAAAAATAGAAAATTTGAATATGCACATTTTATGAATCTTATATTTATTTATTAAAATAAATAAATTTTAGTGATAGATGCCACCACTCTATCCAAATTAGTGCTGATAAAATGAGCCTATATTTTGGTAACCCGCTCAATCCGTCCATATTTTAATGAGTTGAGTGAGTGACTATTTAGATGGGTTAAATATGGGTTTAACTTTCAACTTTTATTCACTCAAAATTTATAATATCACCAAAAGTGTTGTAACTTCTCTTATTTTTTATGTTCGAATTATTCTTCTCTATATAATTGAAAAGGTGAAGTTTTTGACCCTCTAAAGAAATATATACTATATTACATATGCATTTTTTTGTTAATTATAATTATATTTTTTATTTGTTTAATTTTATATTGGATAACAATAATAGTGTAAACTGTAAAGTAAGCAAATCATGTATTAGTATTGATATTGTGTAAAGTTCCTTAAGCACGTTTACTCCTAAAATGCAAATATTCCCTTACTTTGAAATTAAAAATATTTTTTCCTTGTCATTACATAAATTTATTTTATATTGAAAAGTTATAGAATTTTTTTTTGACTTTGATGGTACAATAAAACTAAATAAAGTATTTTCAACATTTTTCATCTAAAAAAAAAGACTAAAATATTTTATCCATGTTAAATTCTAAAGTAAAGTACTATTTACTCATACTCATGAAACTATGAGTAAATATGAATAAACTTGTATTTTACCCAACTCATCTTCACCAATAGGAAATATAGACGGGTTGAATTATTACCCATTTTATATTGATCTATTTTCAACCTGCCCAAATTTTACTCAACCCACCTATTTATCACCACTAATCAAAATACATAAAATATTTTCTAATGAAATCTCACATCAAGGTGTTGGTTAAAGTTAATTGATGACCCAAATATTCATCAAAAAATTCCAACCTAATTTTGTATTGCAGCATCTCCCAACAGTAGGGTATATGTCTCCTTTGTCTTTTCTAGGAGTTGACTAAAATCAAATTAATAAGATAATATCACAACAATTGGGAATTTTTTATATTATATATACTCTTATATGTCTTAAATTATTTATAATGATTTTTCAAAATAATTGTGTTAAATTATTTGTTACTGTATTTTAAAACTTCAAGATAAAATTAATTATTTTTTTCATTTTACTTTAGCAGGAGTAGTAATTATTCTTAAAAAGTTACAAACATTTTAGTCAAGAATTGATGACACATAAAAAAAAATAAAAAAAATTTAATTTAAACATAAATAAAAGATAAAATAATCAACCTCTCATAATTAATGTTTTTTTAAGAAACATGTAAAAGCACACCATAAATAATTTAATACAAAAGAGTATATTATTATTAATTTTAGTTTATATTTAATTTTCATTATCCGTATTGAAGTTCGATTAATTTGAATTCGCGTCAGGTAGCTAGGATCTCATTCATGAGATAGTTAGTGTTCCCTACTAAAGATTTTGTTTTCATACCTAAAATTCGAATCAAGACTTATAGTTAAGAGAGGAGCGGAGGAGAAGCTTCATCGCATCACATTCTTTGAGGGGGATTATATTATTTTTGGAGGTTTTGGCCTAAGGTACATCGATTTAACTAAAGATTTGTACGACATGAAATAATTAAATGCTGATTTAAGCAATAAGATCTGTCTCCAATCCAACAGCTCTTTTTTTAACGATAATATTCATAACAAAAAAAAAATGCTTCAAGTTAATCTGTTTTATATTAATTTAATGTAGCACCCTATCACATTTTGAAATGTTTAAAGCTTAGGTTTTAAATGGAATCGATGATTAGGGGAGAGCATGGTATGGTACGGTACGATATTTGAAAGTTTTGATATTATAATTTTGGTATTCGATTTTTTAAATATTATATCAATTTAATTCTGTATGGTTCGGTATATTAAAGTTTGATTTTGGTATTCTAAAATATGGTAAATCGGTAAACATAATTTGTTTAACTTCAACTAATATATACTCGTATAATAGAGTAGAATGATTTCGACAACTAAAAAAAGGTCTCAATTGTATTATACTAACACATTACACATGTAGATATATACATGCAAAATAAAGTACAAACAACTCTGTTTGTTAATCAATTAAAATTCAAATACATTTCAATCAAAATAGAATAGTCAAAATTTCAACTTCTAAACATTTAGTTTGTTCTAATACTAGGTTGCATATTTGTTGGTATTTTAATAATATATATATGTTATTTATGTAACAATATACTTCGGTATGATATTCGGTATTTCAGTATGTTATTCTAAATACCAAATACCGTATCGAATACCAAAAAAATTAAAATGTATACCCTATACCATACCAAATATCATAATACTAAAATCATGGTATAAAAAAATTCGATATGATGTGGCAATTCGGTATATATCATACCATGCCCACCCCTATCGATGATGATGTTATTGATAAATATAAGATAAGACTTTTTGTTAAAGATGTTAGACAGTGCATGTTTTTTACATTAATTTAACTAGGGATGACAATGGGGCGGTGCGGGGCGGGGGCGGGGTTGGTTGAGATTAACCCGCAAAATTTTTAATCCCTCCCGCCTCCCCCATATAACAACTTTTTTTTATTTCCAACCCGCCAGACCTCACCCCGCATAATTTTTTAAATTTTTTTTTTTCTAGTTAAGTTTGATACTAAATATAAAATTAAAAAAAAATATTATTTTTTCATTAAGTTGTATTAATTTAATAGATAATGACTTAAAATTTTATTTTGTAGAGTTCAATTGAAAAACATGTAAGAAATTCTTTTGTATTGAACCATTTTCATTTACTATCTTGAATATTTTAGTAGCTTTAAAGAAATTATCTTTATAAATAATGTTTTATCACTCTTATAACATGTAAAAAGTTAAAATTAAGTTTGAACCCACATAAAATCACATATACCTGCACCCGCCCCGCCCCACATTATTTTTTTTAAAAACCACTTCAATCCCGCCCGCATCCCTTCCGCCCCGCACAACCTTAAAACCCGTCCCACCCCACATAGCCTTAAGCCCACCCTGCCACGCATCCCCCATTGTCATCCCTAAATTTGACACATACCCATCGATTACGAAGATCACATCCATTTAAGTGTTAATAACTTTAGTCATCGTGTACGATTTTTAGAAATTTAAGACAAGAGTTGTTAAATATGTTAGACAGTGCATGTTTTTGCCATTAATTTGACACATACTCATTGATTACGAAGATTACATCCATTTAAATGTTAATAACTTTAGTTGTCATGTACGATTTTTCAGAAGTCATTAAATGAACGTTAAGACAACTTTTTTACATGGACTTAGAGGAAGAAAACTACATAATTGTAATTTCAAAAAAAAAGAAAAGAAGGTGCGTAGATGTTACGTCTCTATCGAGATAAAAACAACAAGCATCCAAACAATGACATGAAATTTGACGTACAATATATTCATCATGGTAGTGAAGAGTAGGGGACTATATCCATTGTTGTGTTGAATTTTGCTTATCCAATTAGGCTTAATTGTGAAACTAAACCTATTGGACTGCTTGTTAGCCCAAAAGTGCTTACTAAGACTGATGATTAGATCAGATATAAGCAGGCCTCAAATCAATCCAAATGTGATTAAGAAGAGTGACAAAACAAGCTCTAAATGATTGTTGGTTAAAAATAATTCTTTATTTTATTTTATTTCTTAGATGTCGACTACAATAACAATAACATATGTTGTGTAGTTTTGCAAAGTAAAATTTAGAAATGGTAGAGCTAGATTGTATACAAACCTTACCCTATCTTAAATATAGAGAAATTTTATTTTTAATAAATCCTCAAATTGAGAAAAAACAATCCAAAACAGTCACAAAAATGAAGTAATGGAAGTAGAAAAAATAACAAATAGTAACCAAAAAAAAAAACTAAGACAAAATAATACGATAATTGAGGGTCAAGAACAACACATAGTAACACTTATATAAACGTTCAACAAGAAAACACATTACTAACTACTAACATTCTACCTTAATACATATCCTCCTCATACTTTTATCTAAGATCATATTCTCAATAAATTGAATGTCTATTCACTTCTTTCCTGTACTTCTTCAATATATTTCTACCTTTTTTTTAAAATGATGTCCCCATGGGCCCAACAAACTCCCACCATTAGTTACTAGTTCACGTGGCCCACGGCCCTTTTAAACTAGGCCCATATGAATCCACGTCAGCAAATCAGATTCTCCCTCAGCCTCATTCTGCCACGTCATACCCCCAAAACAAAAATATCCTCTTGTATCAACCACAGGAAACAGCAGCCCACTAATACTGCGTCGTTTCGATGTCCATTTCTGAATTCTCTTCTTTGAGATTACATTAATACCCCTCTACCCAATTTCATCGTTACTAAAATATCCCGTGGTATTTTCGTTAATATATTCAAAGTTGAGGTTGTTTCAGTTATACACTGCAAGTTGCCCTCTGTTTTTATCCATCTTCTTCTCTTTCCGAACAGATAATTACTCCAAAATTCGTTCTCGATTTTCTCTCTGGAAGATTTTTTTTTCTGTTAGAGAAGTTTCTAGAAAGTTTAACGATGAAGAATTGTGAGCTTTGTAATGGATTAGCTAGGATTTACTGTGAATCTGACCACGCGAATTTGTGTTGGGATTGTGATTTGAAGGTGCATTCGGCGAACTTTCTGGTAGCAAAGCATTCCAGGTCGTTGCTATGCAACGTGTGTCAATCGCCGACGGTTTGGTCAGCTACCGGTTCGAAAATTGGCCGGACGGTATCTGTATGTGAGAGATGCGTGAACGATGAAGAAACTGACAGAGAAGATGAAGAGGAAGAGGAGGAAATTGATTTGGAAGATATTCAAGTTGTTCCGTGGTCATCAACTCCGCCTCCACAGCCGGCGAGTTCGTCGAGTAGCAGCGATGAGTCGTTAACTCAAATTTTTTCTTTGAAGCGAATGCGTGAAGATGTATGAATGTTTTGATTTCATTTTTTAGAAATGAATTTATAGCGAATAATTGATTCTGATTTTCTTTGTTTTGTTGTATTAGGATGATAGTGGAACTTCAACATCACATCGGGAAGTTAATATGCTATCGCCGGCGGCGAAGGATCACTTCGGCGACGAACCAGCTGAGTTTGTGAAGTCATTTTCGATGAGAATGCCTTCAAAGATCCAGAGAACCGGTGAGATTCTACCGGGTCGGGTTGAAAATATTGGATGTTCAGCGACGATGGAGCTTATCGGAAGAATTAATCGTGGTGAGGATAGCTGATGTATGTCGCCGCCGCTGCCCGCCGCCGCTGATTTATAACAGGCCACCATTGATTTGACGTTTTGGCTTCTTTTTTTTTCAATTTCTACTAGTACTTACCCAAATCATATAGTTGGTGAATTTTGTGTAGTAGTGAATTTTACATCATAGGATAAGATTTTATTTTTGTTTTAGGATAATGAGAAGAAATTCGTAAAATCAGAATGTTTGAGAACTTTTTTTCTTTTATAATTATGGTATTTAGGGCAATTTGTGTACATTCTAACTAATTTAATACAATATGTTGCGTATTGTTAAAATATGTCAATCTTAAACCCTAGAATGGATGTTTTTATTAATTAATCATTCATGTTTTGAACAAGTGAAAGGAAGAAAATAACAATATTTGTGCTGATTAAATTCTATCTTAAAAAAATAAATTCAAATTAGCATAATTTCGGATTTTTCAACATTCATGGATTCACTGTTCATTCGTTTCGATACATAGTAAACGATATATAAGTTATGTATCAGATACATTATAAACTAGATTCAATTTAGGTTTGAAATAACTAAGGTTATGTATCATGAATAACATTTGTACCAGAAACATTGTATACAAACAAAGTTGTAATGTATTTGATTAAGGAAAAAAGAGACTTTTCTAATTAATTCAAATGATAGGAGTTTTTAGAGATTATATTATCTTAAATCATATAATTACGTAATTTTTCTATAGATAGTTTTGCCCCGATTAATATGACAAATTTTTTCTGAAATTTTTCTAGACTAATTTTTAGTCACATAAATTGAAATAGAAGCAATAATTATACCTTGAAATTGTATATAATCCCTATGTGTTAGTCTTTAGTGGCAACTTGCATGAGATATTCTTTTAAAATGGAATTTTTTACCTAGGTCTAAAACGCCATGGTGTTGAGGGTGGGTATAGAGTCTATGGAGTATTTAAATGTAGACAAGAATTTGATCCACAAAAATAGAACACAAAGATGGGACCCCTTTGCCTATGAAGTTCTTGGTTTACTCTATTATTTAAGGGAGTATTGGTTTGTACCACTCATTTCCACCCCTTACCTATTCACCTCTACTTTGACAACAAATTATGGCAATACATAGAAGTAGTTCATTCTCATGGTTCTAGTTGCTCTCTTGTTTTAATTTGACTCGAAATTTAAAAAAAGTAAAATTATTTATTTGATTTTAACTAGATTTAAAATTTAATTTGGTATATGTCTAAGAAATTATTTTCTTCGTTTCAATTTATGCTAATGTATTTGATTAAAGATGAATTTTTAGAGAAAAAGAAAACTTTTTAAAGTTTATGATATAAATTAAATTATATTTTTTATGGTCATAAATCATCTCATTAAGAGACTAAACAAAAGAAAAGATTGTTGTATAAATAGAGACGGAAAAAAATATACACTTTCATCGATGTAGAACTATAATTTCGAATTTATGAATTTTAAATTCTAAAAATACAATGTGTTGGACTCTTAGTTCATTTACATATACTAGATTAGTTTTAAAATATAATTTGATCTAAAACTACTGAATTTTATCGAATATATTGAAAAAAATGAAGCTCCGCTCTTGACTATCGATCCATAAAATTTAAACCTTTCTTTAAATGGGTGATAAACACTTGTTCTACAAGAAGGAATCATATGAAGTGGTTAAAATTCAAGTTGGAAAATGAATGGCCATGGTTTGGCAATACACATACTGTCATACATACTCAAAATTGTTTGTATTTTAAAATATCTATCTTTTCATATTCCATTATTATTTCATTCTAGATATTTTTTCAGATTTTTACTTTGATTTTGATATATGTTTTACTTGATCTCAAATTAAAAATAGACTTTTTACCTTTTAGGATAAAGATAAAGATTAAATGTTCACTATTCTTTTTTTTTTTTTTTGCTTTTCTTTTTTTATTTCTCCCTAAAAGCTTCCCAATCACTATTACTTTCGGCCAGCTATAATTTTAAGATTGGTCTAACTAGAGGTAAATAATACTTACCATTCGAATAATCTAGCTTTTTTAATTTCAATTGTAAAATTATATTGCCTACATTGTCATTATATATTTTAAGATTTTAAAAAATAATTAATTGACTATATAAATATCTTGAGATTGATTAGACTTTTATTTTAGGCCACAATTTGGATTAGTATCCACCTCGTTTCTTTTGAAAAAAATATTTGGCGAATATCCTTATCGGCAGACAATCACATCAACTTGGAAAAAAAAAAAGATATACATGGCCATAATTAGTGTTGACTAAATATGTGAAAGAGAACACACCTTAATTTGATAACTCCTTAAGTCCTTCTCAATTGATTTGACACTAATTTTTCAATGAAATTATGTTAAGACTAAAATGATTGATTAGATCTAGCAAAGGCATATACTTTCAAAGTTTTAGTTTCAATTTACGCGACATCTTTTAAATTTGACATAGATATATGTGGCAGAGTGTTGATTAGTCTAGAAAGCACACGTTCAAAAGATGAGGTGGTGAAGATGAGAATGATCAAATGGATGTGAGGGCATATTAAGAGAGATAAGATTAGAAACACGGTTATACGGAACAAGATAGGAGTAACCTTCGTGACATATAAGATGAGGAAAGTGAGATTGAGAAGGTTCGTACATATGAAGATGAAGGGTGAAGGTGTGAGAGATTGACTATAGTAAATTTTAGGAGAGATAGAAATACGTTGAAGAAGAACTGACAAGCAGAAATTAGATAGGACATCACATTTTTATTCTTTATCTTACTGAGGACATGACCCTAAATATGAAGATTTGATGGTCGAGGAAAAGTGTAAAAGGGTAATATTTGCTCAATATTGTAGTATTAGTTAGTATGCGTTTAGTATTTTATCCTCCTATTTTTTTATTACTATTACCCATTATATTGTTCTATTTGTTCGGTTTACTTTGCTATAAATTGGTTGCCCTTTTTTTTCTTTCTTTAATTCTTAATATCATGATTTGGTTATATTTGATTTGAGCCGAAGATCTATTGAAAATAACTTTTAGAAATAAGATCCGTATATATTATATTCTCTTCAAACTCTACTTATAAAATTATGTTGGGTATGATATTGTTGTGTTGCAATACACTTCTAATAAAATGGTTGTGGTTACACACTTAAACTGAACTAAAATATTATATATGTTACATCAAAATAAAAAATTGATAAACCAATTAATAGCATTTCATGTTACATCAGAATTAGTTGACATAGAGTTTAGTGGAGTGGTTTTCGTTGTACACATTTGCATAAAATTGGAAATTTTCACCTGCTCCAATTTCTATCGAGTTATTAATTAAAAAAACGAATATAGTCATGATTTAATAGGTCCAGTACTTAACCAAAAAACTTCTAAACTCTAATTTTCTTTTTATGACCATTGATGAAAACACTGTAAAGAGCATCAATAAAAGCTAGAAACGCAAAGAAATACGGGCGAGAGGGGAGATTTTATGATCTTGATGAACGAGATTTCGATCTTAATTTCTTCTTATAGCGTTTAGAAATTTAATGGTTTGAGATGGCTCTGAAAGGGGTGATTATTAGTGTTTATGTTGAATCTTCATCAACCATAGATCCACATAAATTTGATCAATTGAAAAGAACTCAAGCAAATGAATTTTTATCGATGCCTAAGGGCACAAAAAGAACAAGAGGGTACGATCGTCATGCACAACTTTTGGCCTATGCTCATGAATTAAGGCATGATAATTCTACGCATCCTCAATTTTCATCCAATAATACAAAACAAAAGCATAAGGTAAATTCATATTTCCATTTTGATGTACTACTAAAAAAAACGTGAATTTTTGATGAATATTTCTGTCAAAATGTCATTCAAAATATAATTTGTCTGAAAAGCTTTCACAAGTCAATTTTCATCGAAAATTCACGTTTTGTTTGTGATACAAAATAGCAAATGCAGATAACAATGTATTATGAAGAGAAACTAGAGAACAGAAATAAGCATCTTCATTGAAGAGAAATCAGTACATAGTGAATTGAATTACTTGGAGAATACACTAAAGTTCTCCTTTATATACACATCTAGTCCTATTCTATTGACAGCTGTAAAGCATTAACTAACTAACAAACTAACTAACTCTGTTAGGAATCTTCTAGTGTTAACTAACTAATGTTAGCACTAATGATCAACTAATCTATTTTATCTAAGTCACAGCTCCAACTTCATTACTCCCCCTCAAGCTGCCTGGTGTGAATACGTTCAAAAGTCCTAGCTTGGATACTAAGTATTCATGTTGTGACCTGATTAATCCTTTTGTCATTATATCTGCTTGTTGTTCATGTGTTGTCAAGTATAATGGTCTGATTAGCCCCTTTTGTATCTTTTCTCGAATAAAATGACAATCGATCTCTATATGTTTTGTCCTCTCATGATATACTGGATTTGCTGCTATTTGCAAAGCTGCTTTGCTGTCACAGAAAAGATCCACTGGCATTTCCAGTTCCTCTCCAAGTTCTTTAAACAATGCAATGATCCATACTAATTCTGAAACTGTAGATGCCATACTTCTGTACTCTGATTCTGCTGAGCTCCTTGAAATAGTTGTCTGTTTCTTTGACCTCCATGATATTAGTGAATTTCCATACTTGATCAAGAACCCTGTTACAGATCTCCTTGTGTTGGGACATGATGCCCAATCTGCATCACAATATGCTACTAATTTGTTCTCCCTTTTACTGCTGAACAGAATACCCCTTGCAGGCTCTCTTTTTACATATCTAACAACCTTGATAGCAGCTTCCATATGTGACTTCTTTGGCCCTTGTAAAAATTGACTCAATGTCTGTACTGCAAATCCAATGTTTGGCCTTGTCAATGTCAAATATAACAGTCTTCCAATTAGCCTTTGATAGGATCCTATATCTGTTAAGAAAGGATCATCTGTTACTCCTGATGCTTTGTCTACCTCAACTGTTGTTAATTTCAAGTTGATATCTAAAGGTGTCCATGATGGCTTGGCACCAGTCAACCCCAATTCTTCTATCATTTCAAGGGCATATTTTCTTTGGTTCATTAGTATCCCTTTGGATGATCTACTGAATTCTATCCCCAAAAAATACATCAAAGTTCCAAGGTCTTTGATTTTGAATTTAGCATGTAGTTCTTCCTTAGTTTGCTCAATCAACTTTAGGTCACTACCAGCTACCAACATGTCATCCACATATACCAACACTACTACAATATGTCCATGAAGTCTTTTGATGAATAATGAGTGATCCAAACCACTCTGCACAAAACCAGAAGCTATTAATGCATCGGTGAGTTTGACATTCCACTGTCTGCTAGCTTGTTTAAGACCATACAAGGACTTTACTAGCCTACAAACCAATCCTGAGTTCTCCCCCTGGCTAGAAAAGCCCTCAGGAAGAGACATGTAAACCTCATCATGTAAATCACCCTGCAAAAAAGCATTGTATACATCCAACTGGTGAATGTGCCAGCGTGAAGCAGCAGCAATAGACAAGACACTTCTCACTGTAACAATCTTCACAACTGGTGAGAAAGTGTCCTGATAATCCAAACCAGCTCTTTGATTGTATCCCTTGGCAACCAATCTAGCCTTGTACCTTTCCAAATCACCATTTGCCTTGAATTTCACCTTATAAACCCATTTGCATCCAATGGGAACTTTACCAGGGGGTAAAGGAACTAATACCCAGGTATGATTAGCTTCCAGAGCCTGAATTTCATCTTGCATTGCTGAGATCCAGTGGGGATTACGACATGCTTCCTGATAGGATGTAGGCTCAAGAATACAAGAGAATGCATAGATGTATGATTGATATTGTGAGGACAAATGAGCATAACTCAAGGACTGTGAGAGAGGATAAAGAGTAGATGCAACAGCTGCATTAGTGACAAAATCAGTCATCCAGGAGGGCTGCTTCTTTGGTCGAGTAGATTGTCTGGTGACCTCAGCTGTTTGAATAACAACTTCTGTACCTGCAGGGTCTGGTGGTATGGCTGGCTGAAAATCATCAGTTGCATCAGTTGTTGAAGAGTCTATAAACACAGGATGAGAGGGGACATGAGCTTTAAAAGGAAAAATATCTTCTTTAAAACTCACATCTCTGGAAATAAAGAAACTATGAGTGTCCAAGTTGTACAAAACATAGCCCTTAGAGACCTCAGAGTATCCCATATGAACAGCAGGCATTGCTCTTGGTGCAAATTTATCCCCTGGTGGCAAGATTTTTGCATAGCACAAACAACCTAAAGTCTTGAAATGATCTAAAGACCCTTTGCAACCATGAAACACTTCAAAAGGGGTCTTCCCTGAAAAGAATACAGATGGCAATCTGTTCATCATATAAACAGCACCCAATACACAGTGTCCCCAAAATTTCAATGGAATGGAACCTTGAAATCGAATTGCTCTAGCTAACTCCAGAATATATTGGTGCTTTCTCTCCACCACTCCATTTTGTTGTGGGGTATAAACACAAGATTTTTGGTGTATGATCCCATAGGATTGAAACAAGGAATAACATTCTGAATTTACAAATTCTGTTCCATTGTCTGACCTCACTATCTTTATAGTTTTACCAAACTGAGTTAGTACTAACTGGATGAAAGATCTCAGGACGATGACAACATCACTTTTCAACTTCAATAAGTAGACCCAAGTCATTCGAGAATGATCATCCACAATTGTGAGAAACAATTTATTCCCATCGAAAGTAGGTACATGAAATGGTCCCCAAACATCTAAATGCAGTAAATCAAAAACACAAGTTGCTCTAGAATCACTAATAGGAAAAGGCATTCTAGTTTGTTTAGCAAGAGGACATATTTCACAACTATCTAGAGCATGTTTACATTCATTGTGATCAAGAGTAAACAATTGTTTCATAGCTCCAATGGATGCATGACCCAATCTCCTGTGCCACAACAAGATGTCAACTTTATTCTTAATTGCTATCATCCCTCTAAGTGGTTGGTTGTTAGTGTGGACTGGTTCTTTATGTTGCATCAGATAGAGTCCCTCATGTTCTTCACCAATCTCCAACACCTTCCCACTTGAGAGGTCCTGGAATACGCAAAAGTTAGGGAAGAAGGTGACTGAACATTGTAACTCCTTAGTTAGGCTGGAAACAGACATTAGATTAAATCTAAAATCTGGAATGTAGAGAACATTGCTCACTGTTTGTCCATCAATAACTTCACAAGTACCAATATTTGAAACAGCTACTGAACCACCATTGGGTAAGTGAACCTGTCTATTACTATCACTAACAGGAATCGTCACTTCATTTATCAACATATTCTTATTAGAGATCATGTGATTAGAGGCTCATGTGTCTATGATCCAAGTCTCTTTAGATGCATCTATAGGAGGATGAGATATATTACCTGCATGTGAAGCAAAGGCATTACCTCCCATGTTGGATGATTCTGCAAAATTGCTCATGTTGGCTGAAGATTCTCCCATATTCTCCTTGCCAGTTAACCTCTGAAATTGAGCATGATGCTGTGGATTATCCATGTGATGTTGTATCTGATTGTACTGATTTTGAGCATAGTTAGAAGGACCGGGTCCTCTGTACCAATCTCCTGAGTGTGTACCAGAAAGACCTCCCCCTATGTGACTATCAGACATCATTCTATTCTGATTATTATTGGGTAAATCTCTGTGGGATTCATTGTAAGCAGCTCGACTAGGTCCTCCTTCATCATTGTATATCCTTCCAGTATCATTCTTCACAAAATGAGCCTGAGTTTGTGTCCTCTGATCTCCTCCCCGTACATTATGCTCATTCTGATTTCCAAATTTCTTCTTAAACTTGAAATCTGGTGGGTAACCAATGAGTCTATAACAATCGACTTTGGCATGACCCATGTTTTTGCAGTAATCACATTGGACATTTCAATTCTTCTTAAACTTGGGATGTTGTGTGTTCCTTCCAGATGTAAAAGCAGCAATATCCATATTCATAGTTGACCCCGTAACAGTAGCCATATTCCTTTGGCTCTCTCTTTCAATCATCATCGAGTATGCCTGATTTACAGAAGGAATTGGGATAAGCATCAGAATTTGACCTCTAGCCTGTTCATACGTTTCATTCAGTCCCATAAGAAATTGCAGCAACTTTTGTCTGCTCATGAATTCTACAAAACCTCGCGCACCTTCACAATTACAATTGGGAAATTGAGCTAAGCAATCGAACTCTGCCCAACGTAGTCGTAATTTTGTGAAATACTCAGAAATGTTGCTTGTCCCTTGAGATAGAGTCACAATTTCTCTATGTAGTTGAAAGATCCTTGAACAATCTGCCTTGTCGAATCTCTCTTTAAGATCATTCCATACTGCACAAGCATCAGATGAATACACGATCCCACTTAACAATTCCTTTGAAACACAATTCATGATCCATGAGAGCACTATTGCATTGCAGCGTTCCCACAGATCCTTCAGATTTGGACCAAAATTCTCTTTTCTGCATTTTCCATCGATTAACCCCAACTTGTTTCGTCCAAGTATGGCGATTCTCATCGATCGACTCCATACAGAATAATTTTCTGATCCTGTCAATTGAATAGAGACTAGAACTACTCCAGATGTATCTGAATTGTTCAGATACAATGAATGATTGTGACCTAATTTCTCAGGTAATTCATTATCAATCACGTCTGCCATTGATTCTCCAGCTTTTCTCCTGTTTACACACCTGATCTAGACCATATTAATGGCCGCAATGCTTTGATACCATGATACAAAATAGCAAATGCAGATAACAATGTATTATGAAGAGAAACTAGAGAACAGAAATAAGCATCTTCATTGAAGAGAAATCAGTACATAGTGAATTGAATTACTTGGAGAATACACTAAAGTTCTCCTTTATATACACATCTAGTCCTATTCTATTGACAGCTGTAAAGCATTAACTAACTAACAAACTAACTAACTCTGTTAGGAATCTTCTAGTGTTAACTAACTAATGTTAGCACTAATGATCAACTAATCTATTTTATCTAAGTCACAGCTCCAACTTCATTAGTTTGACGTGATATAACATGACAACTTCCTAAATGACTCCCTCTGCCCCTAGGCCTTTTTATGGGACACTTTTTTTATTTTTTATTTTATTATTATCAGTTACAAAAAGAATGACATATCATGGAGTAAATCACGCTAGCAAGGACAATGAATTGTGTACCTTAATGCAACGAAAGAATCGTTAAATTTGTCACCAATTAAACGATTCCTTTGGTGACAAAATCACTTAACTTTAGGAGTAGTTAAATTTTCTTCTATTTGACTCTTTTATTATACCATGAATCATATGCTTTTCTAGAAAAAGAGATGGACAAGAAGGATAGGATCGTCATTTCCACGTTTGTTTCGTCGAAAAAATAAGGAGCAGAGGTATGAACGGATGGAAACGGAAGAAAACGAAAATAAATCCACATCTAATTTTTGTGTAAGTACAACAATTTATATTAATTAGTTAAAACTACTTAATTGATATTTATACTAAATATTTTACTTAAATGTGCTTTTTTAAAAATTTCTAATTAAAAGTTTGTGTTGTTTTAATTTCATATATATGATGCAGAAGAAGTTGAAGTGTTTTCTGAAAGACATCTCATGTAGTATCTGGCAATTTGGCAAGAAATAATATGATATTTAAGCTAGGGCAGTTGAAGATTATATAAGTTTGATCGAATTTAATAGTTTTAGCTCAAACTTTATATATGTACTAAAAGATTTACTAAATATGTAAAAAGATAAATTTTAAACTTTTTTCCTTTTGCCTCTCTCAAGAGCTTTTCCTTTTTGTAATGACTCAAACATACAATGTTACAGATTGTTGGAGGTCACGTCCTATTGTTCAGAACCTATAAAATTTTAAATTTTGAATTTGGCTCGCGAATCTTAAGCTTCTCTAATGAATATTTTTTCGGAAGCTTATTAGGAGTAGTTGTTTTTTTTTAACCGTCTTTTCCACCTTTTGTTGCTTTAGATAATTATTACTTCATTTTGAAGTTATTTTTGCAAGATTAATATTCGGTATTGTATGCTCTAATTATTTAGGGAGAACTGTGCATAAACGCAAGTGGAGTTGTCACACATTATTTCAGAAAATAATGAATTAATACATTCGAAAAATTTAAATTTTCCTCAATTCTTGTTTTGTAATACATAAATTTAAAAATATTATGTTCACCTTTTAAAAATTAAGTATCATTTACTAGGTTGTAACTAATGAACCAACAAATTTAAGCTAAAAAAGAGTTGGTCACACGTATTTTGGAAAATCTATGGATCAATATACATGAAAATTAAGACAATCTTAAATTCCAATTTCCTAAAACATAAATTGAAAAAAAAATGTTCATCTTTTGAAAATAATAAGTATCATTTTATAGGTCGTCATCGATGAGCCCACAAAATTTGAGCTCAAATAGAGACGGTCACACATATTCTGAAAATATCATGGAGTATTTCTATCACGACCCGAGCCTACACCCTGGAGTGGCCAGCACTCGAGAACCATTGTTGGTCCCCAAGCGAACCCTCATCTTGGCTGACTACAAGCGGAAGACTAACTCAAACATACAAACCTTAAAAACTGAATAAAAATTCATGAAACTCAAATACAAAGCTTTAACTCAAATGAAAAACTCCAAATAAAAATAAATTATTCAACTCGCCATAAAATAGGCAACTTAAGTCTTTAAAAAAATTAATAAAATAAATGAACAGACTTCTGAAACTCTATTATCTATCTATGAACCCTCTAAATGATCCATCGGGACAAGACCCACGATATCCTAACAACTGATATAACTGAAAATAAAAGTGGAACCCTCCGGAAGCAATGAGGCTCACCATAGCTAACTCGAACTCCATGTGGTATCAACGAAACTCATGTTAATGACCCTGAATACATGTATTTGCATCATGAAACGATGCAAGCCAAATGGCTCAGTATGAGGAATTTACGAGCATGTAAGGGGAATTCTAAAGCATAACATAAGCTTGAACTTGATGAAAAAGAAACATACTTACCTCTTCTCAACTCACTCAATAACTCAACTCAGAAATAAGATACTCAACTCAAAGATAAGATATTCAACTCAGTGAAATAAGACTCAACTCAATAATAAGACACTCAACTCTTGGTACAAACTCTGGATACTCAACTCAATATAAAGCAACAATAATAGATGCAATGTATGGAAAGCTTTCAAAACAGTAGCAAACAACTCAATGTATTTAAAAATATAATATACTCAGTTTGTATGCAAGGATACAATATAAACTTTGTTTGTGTATGAAAATACAAAATAAACTCTGTGTATATAAGAATACAAAATGTTGTTGTGAGAGTTTCTCTAACCGACAACCATCACTTAAGAGCTATTGCGATGATACAACGTTTTGTCTCACGCTGTCAGGGTCGTCCTATACCTTGCCAAGGGCATAAAACCTGACGAATAAGTGGATCCACTAGTCTATGCTAAATAGCACTAAGGAATCATTTAAAAAATATGACCCTTTTCTACCCATGGTAGCTACATGGTTTAACGGGGCTGGGAGTTGTCTGAACTCTCCCCCATATCGGTGCTCAATACTACTCCCAAAATATACTAGATCATATATTTGAAAACATAACTCTGTGGTTTGAGATAATTACTCAAAAACTAGCCCGAAGGCTCTCTTGGAAATCCGTGTTTCCTCTCTTGCTTAATTGTAAAAGCATTTACTCTTTACTGAAAACTAGCTCAAAAACTCTTTTGAAAATCTCAGTTTCCTTTCTTGTTTAAATGTGAAAACATTTTACTCTTTGGGAATACATAGTCCCCAAATACTCTTTTTGAAGAAAAGAACTTCACTCTTTACTCAACTCAAAACTCAAGTCTTAAAATAAGTTTAAAGCATTTGTATAAGACTTCTTAAAATAGGGTTCATGCCGAATTATGGACGTGAATGGCTCAATTCAAGGTTTTCAATAACCATAGATAAAACTCAATACTTGGAACTCAAGAACTTCAATGATACTACTCATTTCAAGAATGCTCAACTCTGAGGGTTCATGCGGAATTATGAGTATGAACTACTCAACTCAAGGACTTGAAGATACTTCTCATCTCAAGATTGCTTGACTTATATGATTCATGCAGAGTTATGGGCATGAACTACTCAACTCAAGGACTTCATGGGTAACATGTAATAGTCCCATGATTAGGAATATAATCTCAAAAGGGTTATGAACTTAATACTCAAGACTTAGAACTTGAATATACTATTTCTCTCAAAGGTACTCAATTTATGAAGTTCATGCGAAATTTATGGGCATGAACGACTCGACTAGGGTCTACATAACAATATGGAACTCAAGTATCCGACTCTTCTCATTCTTATACTTACTTCCTCAAAACTTAGCGCAAATTGATAGTTGATCTCAAAGGAGTCACAATTGAACTCAAAGACTTTCTTAAACTGTACTCTTAACTCTCTCTTGAATGTGAATAATGAATTCAAGAGTTATGGTTCATGATATGAAGGATATCGTGATGATAAAGTAGATTCATGTATACATCCTCCTCATTCTCATACTCACTTGCTCGAGTCTTGAAACAAGTTACTAGAAGTTATAGAAGACTCCACAAAAGGACTCAAAGGGACTTTCTTAGAATGTCTGAAAGAATTCTCAAAACTTAACTCTTAACTCTATATTGAATTTGAATTATGAATTCAAGGTTATGATCATGTTATGAATGATTTCTAGGTGTTTAGAAGTAGCTTAGAGTAGTTAGAATCGAAAAGAAGTGAAGGTACCCTTCGAAATTGTAACAACCCTCAAAATAAAGTAGGATAAACTAGAGCCTCGCATGAGTTTTATGCACTAATAACTTGTCAAATAATGAAGAATAGCCTTTTAAGTCAGTTTTAAAGAGTTTAAAAGTCAAACGTCAAGGGACGACCAAGACGTTCAGAAACTAGTTTTTTACGTGTTGGTGTGTTCTAGTATGTTGTCATATTTTTATGTGTTGTTTGGAGTCTAAACTCAGTGGAGGTGATCCTAGTGTAAGATAAATGTTTTTAGGGTCAAAACGTTCGGATACGATGCCTCGGGGGCCACCCTAAGGGACTCCAAGGAGGACCCCAACCTTGGCCAAGCAAGCTACCCAGACAGCTTGAGATTGTGCTTGGAGGGAGCATGTCCGCGTCGCGGACTAGCTCCACCAAGGGCCAACTGTTTGGTCCGCATCGCGGACATGTTGTGGAATCTACTGTCTCAAATTTAATTTCCAGAAAACTTGTGGGAACACCTCCGCGTCGCGAATTTGTTTCCCGATGAAATTTGCGAAAATAAAACTCAAGTTTGACTTGTTTAAAAGGGCCAACTAAGTGAGGGGTAGTTTGAGTACTTTGGAGAATTATTATAAACGGTTATTCTACCTATTTTAGGGTATTTTAAGTTGGTTAAAACCCCAAAACCTAGAATTAGACCCCATTCTTCAAATTGACCCTTTCCTCTCAAAATAGATTCTCTCAAAAACTCCATTGAAGACCTTGATGAAGCTCAAGCTAGAAGATGGGTTTTCAACTGATTTCTTCTTCAATTTCATGAGTCTTCAATAATTAAGGTATGGTAACTCTTGATTCTTGAATAACCTCTCATTCAAGGAGTTCTATCAAAGATTTTCAAAAGTGATTCAAAGACCAAAATTCCCAATTTTCAATCTAAACATGGGTTCCTTGTCAAACAATTTTCTAAGTCATTCTATTGATGAATTAATGTGGAATTAATGTTTTTAAGACAATTTTTAAAGGAATTCTTGAAGAACCCATGATCCATAAATTCTCAAAAATTGGCCTATGATGTGGGTCTTTGTGAATATAATCTCTCTTGGTGAAATTATGTTTAGATTAGATTGTATTGATGTTTCTTATGATTATCTATACTTATTTATGTTGAATTGTTGGTATATTGATGAATTGAAGATTATGGCCTTATGGGCAAAGTTATGGGTTGATCCCTTTGTTTATGGAATTGTATACTTAGACTATGTTTATGATATTGAATTACATTGTTGATTCCTATTGCTACCTATGTCAATTGATTATGAATTGTTGAGGATTGATCCATGGTGATCATGGCTTGGAGAATTGGTAAGGTGACCTAACTTCTAGTCTATAGTATGAGAATTGATGTTGGATGGTTTGATCCATTTATGGTGGAGGTGTTTATTTCTTGTCTATCTATGCATGTTGAGACCATGGCCTTGAAGGCAATAGATGTGAAATGAATTGATAATTATGATACATATGTTTATGAAGTTATGTTATGAAGGTTATATATATGAAATCCTCAATGCTAGCATGATGTTTAAAGTATGTTGATGATGAGGAGTATAATGTGAATGATAATGTTAGGGATAAAGTGTGGTCTACATGATTGATTATGTTAAGTACTATTGTGCAATGACCCCTACCTATATGACCCCTATATGCATGTGTGATTATATATATGGTAGGAGTACCTATTCAATGTTGAATGTGTCTTTGTCTCCTATGACGAAATGTGGGTGTGTGGTCTAGAATCCCTAAGGGCTTTATATGTGAATTGCTCATGAATTGGGGACATTGTGAATGTGTTGTGACCCC